GCGCGATGAATATCAACGGTGGAAACACTCTGGCGTGTCTGAACAAGATCGACACTAACACCAGCAAGGTGTCGAAGATCTACCCGCTGCCGCACATGTATGTGGTCAAAGACCTGGTGCCGGTGAGTATCGAGTCAGTGAGCGTCAGAAGCGGTGTGGGCTTGTGTGAACGCTGTCTGTCTCCTGCAGGACATGAGCAACTTCTACGCTCAGTACAAGTCCATTAAATGTCATTTTTATTTCTTTTGAGTTTTTTTTTGGTGATATGGACAAAAAAATTCTCATGATAATTTTTCACATATGAGTCAATATCGATAATTATCACGATAAATGTCATTTTTATTTCTTTCGAGTTAATTTCTTTTGAGTTTTTTTTGGTGATATGGACAAAAAAATGTATCACAATAATTTATTCATATCAGTCCATATCGATAATTTTAATGCTTTTGAGGTTTTTTTTTTTGCAAAATTTATCACGATAAATGTCACATTTTTATTTCTTTCGAGTTTATTTCTTTTGAGTTTTTTTGGTGAAATGGACGAAAAAATTATCACGATAATTATCATGATAATTTTTCATTTCAGACGATATCGATAATTATCATGATAAATGTCAAATTTTTATTTTTATTTCTTTGAGCCGAGCGGATAAACGCTCCGTGTGTTTCAAGTGAGTCGCGCTGTTTCCTTCCGCTTTTTGCGTGTAAACATTATATCGAACATTTATCGAACTCTCCTTATTATAATATATTATATTGTGAGTGATATTGTTAAGGGTGAGCGATATAGAATATGAACTTGCATAATAATTATGCATGCACTGTATTTTTCCTCTTCTGCTGTCGAGGTAATGCAAGGAATGTTGTGATTGGTTGTCAAGGCAGCCAATCAGAATTTAGCAGCCGCGCAGAATTGTGGCAGAAATGTAAGCCCATACGGATCCTGTTAAACACGACAGCTTGAATTCAGTATAATATGCTGATCTGCTGCTACAGAAACATTATTATTATTTTTATCATCAATATTTAAAACAGTTGAGTACATTTTTTCAGGATTCTTTGATGAATAGAAAGATCCAAAGATCAGCATTTATCTGAAATAAAAAGCTTTTGTAAC